GATGCTGAGGGTATGAGCCTGGTGGTGCCCTTGACAATAATAGGGAAGGTTTGGGGGAGAAAGATGATAAGAATTCTGTTTTGGATACATTTAGTTTGAGGATGTCTACATAACCCAAGCTTGAGCAGGGTATGAAGGAAGAAGAGGCAGTCCGCTGCGTCACATTGTGAAGATGACTTTAAAAAAATGCCATTGGATTTGGCAATGAAATCATGAGTGACCTCACTCTGTAGAGTGACCTTGAAGAAGGCTGTTTCTGTAGAATGGTGGAGATAGAGGTCAGATCGCAAGGTGTTGTGGGGAATGGGTAGTAAAGAAGAGATGGTGAGCATAGAGGACTCTGTAAGATTATGGCAGTGAAAAGAGAAGAAGCAGAATTGTAGGCTGAGAGGGTATTAGGGAAAGCATTCATTCATTCATTCATTCATTCATTCATTCATTCATTCTATCCATTTATTTATCTATTTAGCCATCTGTCTATTTATCTATCTATCTATCCATCCATCCATATGCCTATCTATCTATCCATCCATCTATCTATCCATCTATCTATCTATCTATCCATCCATCTATCTCACTAAATAACCATCTATCCATCCATCCATCCATCCGTCCGTCCGTCCGTCCATCCATCCATCCATCCATCCATCCATCCATCCATCTATCTATCTATCTATCTATCTATCTATCTATCTATCTATCTATCTATCTATCTATCTCTATCTATCTATCTATCTATCTATCTATCTATCTATCTATCTCTATCTATCTGTCTGTCTGTCTGTCTGTCTATCTATCTATCAGCTAGTGAAGACCTGGACATGTTTGCATGTTTAAGGTAAGTATTCCCAGGGGAGAAGACACTGGAGATACATGTGAGATGGGATAATTTATGAAGCAGGGTCATAGAGATGGGAGGGGAAGAACCAAGGGTCCACACAAATAAAAGGGAAGGATGTAGCTGGGCCAAGAAGGGCCACCTCTTCCCCTGAGAATGGAGGAAAGGAGAAGATGGGTGAGGACAGCAAGAGGATTAGAAGCTTTAGAAATGGGGAGGTTAAGAAAGCTCAGGTTGCATAGCTTCAAAAAAGTTCAAGACTGGGTTATCTGATGACAGAGAAGGGGCCCGAGGGTAGCTGTGGGGGCTTGAGAACTGCTGAAGTAAGAGATTGCATAAGACATGATAAATAGCATAGAAAGGTAGTTAATCCGGTCAGCCCAATTTCTTTATTTTCTCCAGGAGTACTTAGGGAATCTACTGAGGGGAGTTACCCAGATTTGAGAGAAACTTAGAAAGGGCAGAAGTTTCAGGGTGAGTCAAATGGGGCTTTTCACCAGGGGAACAACATTTTTGGGGTACTGACAGCGTTGCCCCAAGTAAACTTTTTCTATCTCAAGGCTCCTCCCCACCTGGCCCCATCCTTGATGATCACAACTTTGTCCTGGGGTCTACTTCCTTTAAGTGACTGCATCCATTCACATATCCTGTGTCCCAGCCACAAAATTTCTTACTTACAGCTCTGAGTTTAATGGGGAAAGACAGGACTCTGGGCTTTTTTCTTATCTCACATTGGCATCAGGTTGTCCATGATCACTGGGTGACCAGCTCCATCCAGTTCTCCAGAAGGCAAGGGATGGAGAAGAGCCTCTGGAGGCTGAGATGAGTCCAAGATATTGGGGAGTGGGTAGAAGGAACTATGGATAGACAGGGAGTTCTTTCCTAGCAGTTGGGGGAAATGGCTAGAATTCTGGGATTGGGTTGAAAATGGAGTGGGGTTGCCTTAGGAGGAGATGAATTTCTTGTCATTTCAGGTCTTCAATAGAGGCTAAAGCAATCACTTGTCAGAGATATCACAGAATTTTCTTGTCTAGTTAAGGGTTGGACACAAGGAGCTTAGAGATCCTGGCTAGCCCTTAGATTCTGCTACCCTGACCTGATGCTTTCTTTAGCCCGTCCTCTGGAAGGCAGTTGCCATAGAGGGCCCAGAGATGAAAAAGAGGTCTAAAACCTAGAGAAAGGGTTATTAATCATGAGCTTCTTATTGCAAAATTCAGGCTTAAATTGATGAAAGTGGGAAAAATCATCAGACCGTATAGATATGACTTAATATCCCTTATGAATATGAAATGGAAGTGATGGATAGATTTAAGAGATTAGATCTGATAGATAGAGTGCCTGAAAACCTATGGACAGAGGTTCAAAATACTGTACGGGAGGCAGCAACAAAAAACATTCTAAAGAAAAAGAAGAGCAAAAAAGCAAAATGGCTCTCTGATGAGGCTTTACAAATAGCAGAGGAAAGAAGGAAAGGGAAAGGGGAAGAAGAAAGGGAAAGATAGACCCAACTGAATGCGGAATTGAAGAGAATAACAAGGAGAGATAAGAAGGTTCCCTTAAATGAGCAATGCAAAGAGATACAAGAAAACAGCAGAATGGGAAAGACAAGCGATCTCTTAAAAAAATAGAGACATCAAGAAAAAGTCTCATGCAAAAATGGGCATGATAAAAGAGAAAAAATTGGGGGCAGCTAGGTGGCACAGTGGATAGAGCACTAGCCCTGTGGTCAGGAGGAACTGAGTTCAAATCTAGCCTCAGACCAATCACTTGACATTTACTAGCTGTGTGACCCTGGGCAAGTCACTTAACCCCAATTACCTAAACAGAAAAAAGAGAGAGAGAGAGAAAAAATGTTAGGCACTTAATAGAAGCTGAAGAGGCTAAGAAAAGATGGCAAGAGTATATAGAAGAATTTTAAAGAAAGTTCTTAACATTGCTGATAATTGTGATAGTGTGGTTACTGATCTCTAGCCAGACATCCAGGAGAATGAAGTCAAGTGGGCCTTAGGAAGCGTTGCCAACAATAAGGCTAGTGGAGAGGATGGAGTTCCAGATGAGCTATTTAGAACCCTAAAAGATGATACTGTTAAAGTGCTGCACTCAATATGCCAGCCAATTTGGAAAGCGAAACAATGGCCGCTGGATTGGAAAAGATTAGTTTGCATCCCAATTGTAAAGAAGAGTAATACCAAGGAATGTTCAAAGTACCAAACAATTGGACTCATTTCACATGCCAGCAAGGTTATGCTTAAGATTCTGTAAGCTAGTGTTTTTGCAATAGGTGAGCTGAGAATCGCCAGAAGAGCAGGCTGGCTTTTGAAGAGGCGGAGGAGCTAGAGACCAAATTGGGAGCTCAGAAAAACCTCTGCTTCTGCTTCATTGACCACATGAAAGCCTTTGACTGTGTGGATCACAACAAAATGTGGCAAGCCCTCAAAGAGGCGGGAGGACCAGATCATCTCACTTGTCTCCTGAGGAACCTGCACGTGGGCCAAGAACTGAACGTGAAATAACGAATTGGTTTAAGATTGGGAAAGGGCTATGACAAAGCTCTATATTGTCACCTTATTTGTTTCACTTACATGCAGAGGACATCATGAGAAATGCCAGAGTGGATGAATCAAACGTTGGAATCAAGGTTGACACAAGACATATCAGCAATCTCAGATACTAAGATGATACCCCTCTGATGGCAGAAAGGGAAGAGGAATTAAGAAGCCTCTTGATGAGGGTGAAAGAGAAGAATGCAAAAGTGGCTTTGAAACTTCACATAAAAAAATAAAAACTAAGATCTTGGCAACTGCTCCCGCCACCTCCTGGCACATGTAGGGAGAAGAAATGGAAGCAGTGTCCAATTATACATTCTTGGGCTCAAAGATCACTGCAGACAGTGACTACAGTCACTCTTTGGAAGGAAAGCTCCGGCAAATCTGGACAGCGGACTACCAAGCAGAGATGTTAGCTTTCAGACAAGAGTCAAAGCTATGGTTTTTCCAGTAGCAATGTATGGCTATGCGATTTGGACCATGAGGAAAGCCAGAGGCTGCAGAATCCCGATTTTGAATTGTGGCGCTGGAGAAGGCTTTTGAGAGTCCCTTTGACAGCAAGAAGATCGAATCAATCCATTAAAGAATTGGATTCAGGCTATTCACTGGAAGGCCAAAATACTGAAGCTGAAGCTTGGATACTGTGGCCACATAATGAGAGGATGGGAAGAGAGGATGGGCTCGTTGGAAAAGACCCAGATGTTGGGAAAGATTGAAGACAAAAGGAAAAGGGATTGGGGGAGGATGAGATGGATAGATAGTATCATTGAAACAATGAACGTGAACTTGGACAGACTTTGAGAGAGAGATAGTGGAGAATAGAGGGGCCTAGGGTGCTGTGGCCCATGGGGTCATGAAGAGTCGGACATGAGGCAGTGAGGTGGCATAGTGGATAGAGCACCGGCCCTGGAGTCAGGAGGACCTGAGTTCAAATCCAGCCTCAAGCACTAGCTGTGTGACCCTGGGCAAATCACTTAATCCCAATTGCCTTGCCCAAAAAAAAAAAGTTGGACACAACTGAACAAGAAGTTATTTAAAAAGTTAAAAGACAAGTGCACGACTCTTAGCTTAAGAACCTTCGACCCGATGGTCCCTTAGGGACCAATTTCAGTGCAGGGTGGAAAGGATTAATCCGAGAAGTCTCCCTGGAGGAGGGTGTGTGTGTGTGTGTGTGTGTGTGTGTGTGTGTGTGTGTGTGTAAAACAGAGTGTACTGGGGGGTGGAATTTGTAGCAGAAAAAATCTCAGGTGTGTGTTGATTGGCTAGAATGGCGCAGCCGCAGCTGCTAGAACTGAGGGTTCTCATTCACTCGGTGATGGTGAGGATGACTATTGTGTCCGCTCTTGCCTCTTTAAGAACCCCAGCTCCTCCACAACTACCACCCACACCGCCAGGGGTTCTACTTCCGCCCGGTCTGCGTCTGACTTCACTACGCACAGAAGCCCCGCCGCAGACCTGGTCCCATGGCCTGGGAAGAAGAGCATCTATGCGCAAGCGCACCACTGTACTTGTTGCCATGGAGAGAACGCCAGTGGTTCTGAGAAGTGGGAGGGGTGGAGAATGTGCGTACTCCCGCCCTCCTTTCTTCTTGTCAGGTCTCCATGGCAACATTAAAGCTTCGGATAGCGCGAGCTCACCAAGTTCTACTGAGACTTAGGAAGCCGGATCCCGGGGCGGGGCTACGCGTGCGCAGTGAGGTCGTACTTATCCCGCGTGCAAGCGTAGGGCTCCTGGTTGTCTAGCCGATGGGAGGAGGTGAGCAAGAACTCTTAAGGGGGCCGGCGCAGAGCAGGTGGAGAAGGGGACGCGGATAATTGCCCTTTTGGGGCCACAAAGAGAATAGGGGCAGTGAGAGGAGGAAGGGATCCTGTCAGTGTCCAGGGGCCGGAGGAAGGAGTGAGCTTGTCAATATCCCTTTGGGGCAAAGGAGGGAGGGGTCTTGTCAATATCCCCCTAGGGCGAGGGAGGGTGGGGTCTTGTCAATGTCCCCCTGGAACCGAGGAGAAGGGGATCCTGTCATTGTCCCTCTGGGGCAATAGCGGTAAGAGAAGGAAGGGGGGGCTGTGTCAGTGTCCCCCTGGGGCAGTGAGAAGAGTAATGGTTGTGGCACCCCCCCATGCTTCCCTGGGGCGGTGAGAGAATGGGGGTCCCTTGAGCTCATTCAGGTAGCTTTGCCCCTTTTTGTGAGACAAGGAAGCCATACTTAGAGAGCTGGCTCTCATTAGGTCTTCCCACCAATATCACAGGCCTGTTGTACTTCAGCCTCTCCATTCCCTGGGAGGAGTAGACTGTCTGGGTCGGGCCATGGCCCTGCTCCCGGCCCCAGGCTCTGTGATTGTCCCCGATTGGCACGAGAGCACGGAGGGCAAAGAGCACCTGTCGTCCATCCTCCGGAAGAACCGTCGGAGGGTGTTTGGTGAGTGGAAGCTCAAGCTCCTGTCCTCTGCCAACAGAGGCTGGGGAGGCTCCCATCAGCTTTCATTGGGAGCCAAATCCCAGCCCTACCACGAAGTGTGGGGCTTGGGCAAGAACTTTTCTGGGCTTCAGGTTCTTCCTCAGAAAAGGAAGGGGTTGGATTAGATGCACTACAAGGTCTGCTGTAGCTCTGGCTTTCAATGACTCCTCTCTGGGCTGTTGGCCTCCCCAAAGAAAGGGATGTGGTATTTTAGCTCATATTAGCTTTCGCCTTCCCCTCCCATTTGTCATCCCTGCCAGTTATAAATAAAGTGTTAGAGGATGGCCTGAGCAACAGGATACTCAGCAGATCTGAGAAATGAAAGATGCTTTGGGATATTGGAGCCAGAAGGAACCTTGGAACACAGCAGAGTAACCCTAATTCTGAGCTGAGAGGATCGTTAGTTTGCAGAATGTTGAAAGTGTGAGGGTTCTTAGAATATAGCATGTCAGAGCTGGAAGGGACCTTAGAGTATAGAATGTCAGAGCTGGAAGAGATCTTAGAATATAGAGTGTCAGAGTTAGAAAGGACCTTAAGGTATAGAATGTCAGGGCTGGAAGGGCCTTGCGAACAGAAAATGTCAGAGCTGAGAGAGCCATTAGAACACAGAATGTCAGTGCTGGAAAGAGTCTTAGAACACAGAATATCAGAGCTGGGAGGGCCCTTAGAACACAGAATGTCAGTGCTGGAAAGGGTCTTAGAACAAAGAATGTCAGAGCTGAAAGGGGTCTTAGAAATTGTCTGGTCTAACCCTCATATTTTACAGAAGGGGAAACGATTTCAGAGAAGAAAGGTGACCTGTCAAAGTCACACCACAAATCAGTAGCAGTGCCTGAAAAGATGATGTCTGTCCCCTGAGATTTTTCTTAAGTTTTAGTTTTGGAAGAGGCTTCAGAGACCATCTGGTCTAAACACTCTCATATTTGCAAGGATTATCTCTTTTTAAAAATTTTTTTATTTTAGGCAATTGGGGTTAAGTGACTTGCCCAGGGTCACACAGCTAGTAAGTGTCAAGTGTTTGGTCTGAGGCGGGTTTGAACTCAGGTCCTCCTGACTTACAGGGCCGGTGCTCTATTCACTGTGCCACCTAGCTGCCCCTGGCAAGGATTATATCTTACTAATCTGGTACAGGGCTCTTCTTCTAGTATAATTAAAATATATGTTGAATTCATTCATACATTCCACATACATGGTATAGTTGATAGCTCTCAACTAGATGTTAGCAGCACTGGGTCTTGTTTCCTGCAATGTCGCTAACTTGTTCTGTTAACTTCCCCAAATTACATTCCTCTCTGTGCCTGCGAAATGGAGAGGTCAGACTGGATGGTCACTAAGCTGGGAAAAGGGTTTACTTTGAGGGGGTGACTATCTGAAGCAAAGATTACCTATTACTCTAGGGCTGCTTGAGAGGCTGGTTCTGCCTCCCCAGGTGGCTGCTGACACTGCAAGCTACAAGATCTTTGTGTCTGGGAAGAGTGGGGTGGGGAAGACCGCCCTGGTGGCCAAGTTGGCGGGCCTGGAGGTTCCTGTGATCCACCATGAAACAGTAGGTAGGTGGTAATGGGGGGGAGGCCTTGGGTCTGGCAAATGGGGACTAACTGTCTGTGCTGTCTTGTAAAAACTCACCTCTGCTAGAAAATCTCCTCTGATTACATTGGGGTCCATTGGTCTATTTCCTTAGGCTCATATTTTTTTAAGACTCATATATTTTTGGTCCTCTCTGTTCCTTTATATTCATTGATGTTTTATTTTGTAGTTGTTGCTAAGTCTGTTTTAAGTTTATGCCCTGTGACTGATGTTCAAACTAGATGCTTCCTGAGGGCTGGGCTCTGTCCCTCCCTCTAAGACTAGGGGTTCCCGGAGAGCAGGTACTTTTGTGTCTTCTTCTGTAAACTGCCCCTTCTCTAGGCCATCTTTCTAGCTTGTTTGGAGAGTTGGGGCCAGGTAAGGGTAGAGGAATGGAGGTGATGAGCAACCCCTTTCCCTAGGCATCCAGACAACAATAGTGTATTGGCCAGCCAAACTTCAGGCCAGCGATCGAGTGGTCATCTTCCGATTTGAGTTCTGGGACTGTGGAGAGGCAGCGCTCAAGAAATTTGATCACATTCTGCCTGTGAGTGGAGGTGCAAGAGGGGGGTTAAGAATGCTTGTGTTTTGTTCTCTCTCCTCTACCCCCACCCCATTATACTGTAAGCCTCTTAAGGACCAAGACTACCGTACTGTATCTGAACTTTACATCTCTCCCAGTGTAAAAAAGCACAGTGCTTTTTGCCCCATAGTAGGTGCTTAACATTTAGAATGCATGAAGGAGCATTCCTCAGGGTGGGGCTGGGCCAGTCCCCCAGAGGTGTCTTAGAAAGATGGGAGTTGGATGGGATGCAGTTGAAAACTCTTGGTTCTTGTTCCTGATTTCCAAGGGTCATTGTCCTGTCTCTTGGGGAAAGGACACTGGGCTGGGCAGGGTGTCTTGACTGTTCCATGAAGTCCTGAGTCATAGCTGGAGAAGTCCTAGTAGGTACAGTGACTGATGGGTGAGATATGTTGAGGTTCTCCTCAGAGATAAGAGTCTGAAAGTTTCCTCTTTTGAGAGACAAGTGTGGTCTAATGGATGGAATGCTCAACTCGGAGTCAGAAAGACCTGGGTTCGCATCCCACCTCTGACACTCAGTAGTTTTGTGACCCCTGAGCTAATCACTTAACCTCTTTGACCCTCAGTTTCCTCATTTGTAAAATGAAAGGATTGAACTCAGTGACCTCTAAGGTCTTTTCCAACTCTGACTCTGTGCTCCTATGATCTAGGCCTGCAAGGAGAAAACAGATGCCTTCCTTTTCCTCTTCTCTTTCACTGATCGCTCCTCCTTTGAAGACCTCCCGGCTCAGCTTTCCCGGGTTGCTGGAGATGTCCCCAACACTGTCAAGATGGTCATCGGCTCTAAGTATCCTTATGCCATCTTCCCATTTATAGTCCTGGGACCCACCAAAAGGGTGCTTATCTCTGGGTGTGCCCCATTGCACAGGTGGCTGGGTTGTTTTGTTCGTAGGTATTTGTTTCCTTGTGTACTCTTGAGTCAGGAGAGAAGAAGACCTGGTGCTTTGAGTAGCTTGTAAGACAGTGGGAGGCAGTGTGGCTCAGTGGATGGAGTTGACCTCAGAGTTAGAAAGATCTAGTTTTAAGTCCTGCTCAGGTAATGGTTAGACTCAGTGAACCCTGAGGTTGCTTCTATTTCTGAGACTCTAGTTATTGGAGGGGATGTCAGCCAGGATCCCAGAGAGAAACCTGTACCCTGGAGCTATACCTTTTCTGGGTTCAAAAGTAGGTGAACATGGGTCCGACTGGACAGGGGACTTGTGGGATGAGGTATAGGGCTCCTGGATCTGGGAGCTGGCCATCCTGGAGGAGGTAGGGACAGAAATGGGCTGGGGAGCAGTAGGGGATGTTATGATTTCCTTGACCTCCTTTTTCAACAGGTTTGATCAATACATGCACACTGATGTTCCCGAGCGTGACCTCACGGCCTTCCGCCAGGCCTGGGACCTGCCCCTGCTGCGTGTGAAGAGCGTACCTGGGCGCCGATTGGCCGATGGGCGCACTCTGGATGGGCGGGCTGGGCTGGCAGATGTGGCACACATCCTCAATGGTCTGGGGGAGCACTTGTGGCACCAGGACCAGGTGGCAGCTGGGCTGGTCCCTGGCCCCCAGGAGAGCTCTCCAGATGGAGGGCAGGGCTAAGGAGAGGGAGTCTGACCTGAGGGCGCTCCTGGAAGTAGGACTTACCTTGGAGTTGGCATCCCTGCCAGGGAAGGAGCTGGTGTGCTTGTAATCTAGTGGAATGGAAAGAATACAGCAGGCAGAAAATCTGGGTTTGTGTCCCAGCTGTGACTTTTCTAGTGTTACCTTAAGCGCATCACTTCACTTTAATTCCTATCCTTAGTTTTCTAATCTGTAAAATGGAAATATACTTACACTGCCTCCCTCACAAGGATGTTGTAGGGAATGCATTTAGCAGGCTTTAAATCATGATAGAAATATGAAGGGATGATAATACCTGCTCTGACTAGACTGTCCAGGACTGTCTGTCTGTGGGGTGATGGAAAGAGGTATGAATTTGGAACCTGAACACCCGGTTTTGAATTCTAGTTCTACCACTTCCCACCTCTGGGACTCATTTTCCTCTTCTGTAAGACGAACAAGGTGGTCTCCAAGCTCATTTCTGGCTCTGTAGCCCCTGGGAGGTGAGGAGGTGCTGTGGGGCTGCAGTGTTCCCAGAAGGTCTTCCCTCCCCCACCTCCACTGTCAGATCTTCTCCCCTCCCCAGCTCTGAGCCAATATAGAGGAGAAAGGGGCAGAGCCAGAGAGGACCAGGGCAGCCGGATCCTCGGACAACAAGCCAACCTCTGGCATCTTGGCTGGTGGCTCCTTGGGGATGTCAAATGGTGGAGCTATTATAGTCTCAGACTGTCCCTTAGAGAATTAGGGTCCTGGTTCAGAAGAAAGAACACTGGACTTGAGTCAGAAGACCTGGGTTCAAATCCGTACTGTGCCATTGAGTTCTTACAACCTACAAACTAGCACATCAGACTCTTCATTTATACATTCTCCAGGTCCCACCCACTGTGGTACCCTCTCTTCCTTCCTCTCTGGCTCTTGTCCCTTCCCTGCTGGATGGAGGATTTTAGTTCACTGGTACGGAGAGGAGAGCTGAGGGGAGTGGGGAGGGGAAACCATCTAGGAGGGGGTTGGACGACATTGCCTTCAAATTTCTTTCTTAAGCTAAAATCCTGTTTCCCCCCAAGTCTCCAGGCTACCAGTAGGTGCTTTTTCCTTTCAGGACTCAGAGGAGACCCGGGTTCTGAAGCCACTGAGATCAGTAATTCCAGAAGCAGCATTTCTGGCTGAGCATCCATCAGTCTACAAGTATTTAGGACAGAGGTTCCTGACCTGGGCTGGAGAACTTGTTTTATATGTAAATATATATTATATGTGTATAAAATATACATATTTGATAACTAAATAGAATCAGTTTCTTTTGTAATTCTTTGTAATTTATTTTATACATTTAAAAACATCCCCCCAAAAGGGTCTATGACAAAAGTAGCTTTAAGAACCCCAGATTTAGAGGCCAGCGTGGGAGGAGGGTGTCAGGGAGGAGCCCCAGTGCCGCCACCCTCTCTGGTCCTTGGAAAGTAACTGATCCAGCAGGACTGGACCACAACCTCCCCGGAAGGTCTGAGCCTGGCCCCGCCAGGTGGGTGCTGGAGGCATCCCAAGCTTGAGGAGTTGAGAGCCTGACCCTTCCTCCCAGCACTGCGGAGATGTCTCCTCTCTGCCTCTCCCCCAGTCCTCATTCTGCTTTCAGTGTTTAATAGGCGTGCCCCCAAGGGGCAGTCAAGCTACTGCTGCAAACTTGGGAGGGAGGGGCCACCCCGGCACGGCCCACACTTCTGTCCCGTAATTTTCCTAATAACTGAGCAAATGCAAATGGCAGAACCACTGCTCTTGAAGGGGAGGCAGGCGCCATGGAGGAAGCCGCTCTGAAACTGTAGTTGGGAAAGCCTGGGTTTGAAAGTTCTTATGCCAGTGACAGCGTCTCGCCCTCTCTGAGCCTCAGTTGCTTTTTCTGTAAAAAGGGATGCTAATGCTTGGACTAGAGACTTCCTAGGGTGACCCATGCTGTGGGCTTTGTAAACCTTAAATCAGAATCGGGGTGTGAGTGCAGGTGGGGAGAGAGCAGTTGGTTTGGAGTCCAAGGTCTGTGTGACCCTGCGGTAGCGCGACCTCACTGGGTCCCAGTTTTCTTACCTGTAAAGTGAGGAGATTGGACTCATCTCTCCAAGTTCTCTTCCACCTCTAAATCGATGCCCCTGAAATAGGGAAACTAGTAGAGACAAAGCCTTTGACCCCCTGCCTTGGGAAGAGTGGGGAGGACCAGTCATTACCGACGTCACTGGGTCCTTTGCTTTTTCTCTCCCTGGGCGTGATGGGAAACCAGAGTCAGGATGGAGAATCCTTATCTTGGGCCCTTGGGACTTCCTCTGCAGTTCCAAACCAAGTGCCCCCTGTAACAGTGTAAGCCAACGTCTGTGACCTTCTGACTCTGGTGCTCTCAGGGGGCCCAGGCTCCTGCAGCTGCTCAACTCTGACTAGGAAGGGGTCTGGTCTTTTTTTTAAAGGCAATTGGGGTTAAATGACTTGTCCAGGGTCCCACAGCTAGTAAGTGTCAAGTGTTTGGTCTGTGGCTGGATTTGAACTCAGGTCCTCTTGACTTCAGGGCCAGTGGTCTATCCACTGTGCCATTTAGCTGTCCCAGGGAGTCTGGTCTTACCAGGGATGCCCTGCTAGTGCAGGACACCACCCTTTTTCTCAAATGTTCTGTATGGTGAGGGGATGCATCCCTCCTTCCAGATGGGACATTGGAGCAGGAGTGATATGGTGCATACCCTTAGGGAATACCTAACCCCCAGCCAACCTGGAGACCCAGGTATGAATGGTATCTTCCTCTCAGGCTTTGCCTTCTCTGCTAACTCTACCATCCCTGGCAGATCCACAGACGCCCTAGTCTCTTCACAGGTGTATGTGTGGTAGCAGAAGTCAGAGCAGGAAGAGCCTCTAGAATATAGAATGTGAGAGCTGGAAGAGGTTGGAGTCCCTCTAGAACTCAACTAATCACAGAATTTAGAGTTGGGAAGGACTTTTTTGTTGTGGTTTCAATAGTGTCTGACTCTTTGTGACCTCATTTTGGGATTTTCTTGGCAGAGATACCAAAGTGGTTTGCCATTTCCTTCTCCAGCTCATTTTATAGGTGAGGAAACTGAGGCAAACAGGGTGAAGTGACTTGCCCAGGGTCACACAGCTAGTAAGTGTCTGAGTCCAGATTTGAATTCAGAGAAATGAGTCTTCCTGACTCCAGGCTGGGCACTCTATCCACTGTGTCACCTAGCAACCCAGGGAAGGACTTTGGTGACCAGCTAGCCTGACCTAAACTGAAAGGAATCTCTGTTCTGACATGATGGATGGCCTCTGGTGAAAGACCTCCAACAAAGGGGAACCCATCACCTTCTTGGGTGGTGCATTCCACTTTTCGATAGCTCTAATTACTGGGGGGGTCAGGTAGTGCCATAGTGCATAAAGTACCTGGTTTGGAGTCAGGAAGACCTGAGTTCAAATGTGACCTCAAATATTTACTGTATGACCTTGGGCAAGTCACTTCACCCTGTTTGTCTCAGTTTCCTCATCTGCAAAATGAGCTGGCAAATGAAATGGCAAACCACTCTAGTATCTTTGCCAAGAAAACCCCAAATGAGGTCAGGAAGAGTCAAACATAACTGAACAAGGGAACAATTATTAGGAAGAAGTTTCTCCTGACGTCAAACCTAAATTTGCTTCTTTGTAGCCACCTCATTTTACAGGGAGGGAAACTGAGACAAAAGAAATGATTTGTTCAGAGTCACACAATATATGGTACAGTTGACTTAGGACTCTGGCGCCTTCCTCTGCACCAGGGCAGATTCTGCTGCGCCCTCCTCTCCCTAATCTTCCTGGGCCTCACCCCTCTAACATCACTTATCTGGGCCAGAAGGCAGATTCTACTCCTAGTGCTGCTAGTTGCCAGCTGGGTGACCTCGGCCCAGACCTTTCTTCCACTCCCCCATGGCAGAGGTGTTGTGAAGAAAGAGCTTCGTGCCATGTTATGTAATAAACACGAGCTGTTATTATTGATGCCTCCTAGGTACCCCATCTGCAGTGGCACCCTCCCCTTAGGAGCTCGGTGGTTGCTAGGATGTGAGGAAATACGGTGGAGCATCCTCCCTCCTCCCTCCGTCCTGTTCCCAGGGATGCTGCTGAAATGAGCCCCAGTCCCTGGGTCCCCTTTTCTCTGCGCGGTCTGGGGACACCCAGAGCCTGCTGGTCCTTCTGTCAGCAGGATGAAGAAGAAAGCGTCCAGGAAGCAGGGTGTCCATTTGCCACTTGATCTGGAGCAAGGATCAGCCCACCTCCCTAGGGGATCCCTGCAGAATGGGGTGCACTGTGCTACTGCCCAAGTGAGTGCCGGGCCCAGAGTGGGGGGAGGGCACTGAACTGTTAGCGATGGGCAAAAACAGTCCCAAAGGGCTGCCTGCACTACTCCAGATGCCCTTCTTGACTCACTGACACCCCGTGGGATGGCCGTCTCACCCAGGCTCTGCCTGGAGAAGGGAGGGAGGGCTCTGCCAAGATGCCATGGAAACGAACAACATTGCCCGAGAGTTAGGAGACCTGGCTTCAAGTTCTGGATTCAACTGTGTGATCTTGACCAAGTCATTTGCTCTTGATGGACCTCAGTTTCCCTTTCTGTAAAATTAGGGCATTGATCCAGGGGATCAATAAGATACTAGTCTCCAGCCATGGTGTGTTAAGGGGTGTGTATGTTGCTGGGCAGGGGTGGGGATGGCTCTGTATCTGGAGCAGTGAAAGGACAGCCCATGTGCTGAGTAGAGACCTCTCGGATCCCACATCTTCCAAAGGGTAGTGTGATGCAATTCGTCTCCCCAGCAAACAAGAGGGGAGTTCTTTAGATATCTTCCTAAAACTTATCAGATCTCTCAGCCTCCCTTCAGAACCGCATAGCTATATAGACACATAGACATATTCACCTCCCCACCCTCCCCCACCTTCAGCCAAACCCTGTCCAAGAGAGAACCCCAGAGGAAGGGGCTGTGATTTGCACATAATTTGATTGTTCTATGATTGACCCAGCCCCCATACTTTCTTTTTATACCCAGGACCCTGAACCCAAGCCTAGCTGGGCTCTGCCTTTGAAAATTTGGCACCATGCCCTCCCTCTCTCCTAAACCCTGGAGGTACTCTGCCAAGGTCTGGAGTAGGGGGTTGAGATCTCCATGGCCAGGGAGGGGTCTGAGAGATCCTTTTTTCACATGAACCCAACAGGTGAAGAATGGCCAGGGAATGGGGAGGGCTGAGGGGAGATGGGAGGACAGTTAAAGTCTTGGAGTTGGGGTGCTGGTAAGAGAGAGTGAGAGATATTGTGAGGGATGTGGGAGAAGCTGTTGCCTAGGGATGGGGAGGGGACAGAGTGGAGGGATCAGCAGATGAGTCAGGTACTGAAGGAGTAAAGGGGGTCGATGTTGAGCCATGATCAGGGATCAAATGAGATAATTGTAAGGTGCTTAGTAAGCACTACAGAATTTTAGCTATCATCATCATCATCATCATCATCATCATATCATCATCATCATCATCATCATCGGAAGATGGAAGAGGTGGGGAAGGACTGGAGGAAGGCAAATGTCCTGATTTTCAAAAGAGGGAGAGAATGGAACCTATGAATTGTAGCCTGATGAGTTTGAATTCAATTCCTGGCAAAATACTAGAATGTGTCTAGACAACAGGGTTAAGTGACTTGCCCAGGGTCACACAGCTAGTAAGTGCTATGTGTCTAAGGCTGGATTTGAACTCAGGTACTTCTGAATCCAGGGCTGGTACTCTATCCATTACACCACCTAGCTGCCCCTAGAATGTGTTCTTAAAAGGATCATAGGAGACTGTCAGGGAAAGGAAGCAATGATTACTAAAGGCCAATCTGGCTTCATCTACTCAGCCTCCTGGAGACTCTCTAGGCAAAAAGGCCTCTGGTGGTCGTCTCTATGCACTATCTCCACCATTGGAATGGAATCTCCTTGAAGGCAGGAATTGTCTCACCTTTCTTTAAGTCCCCAACACCTAGCACAGTGACGGGTACATAATAAAGATCTTTTTTTTTTTAATCATCCATTAAAAGCAGGTCATACCAAAATCTGATTTCCATTTTTGGCAGGGTTACTAGTCTGATAAATCAGAAATACTGTAGCTATAACTTACCTAGATTTCAGCAAAATATTTGAAAGTCTTTCATGAAATCCTGATGAACAAAATGGGAGATATTGGCAGGATCATAGTACAGTTAGGGGAATTTGGAAATGAATGAATGGTCAGTCCCAAAGAACAGTTGACTTCCAACTCAGAGAGCGTTCTCCAATGGAGTGCCCCAGGAATCTGCGCTTGACCTTGGGTCTGCTTCCTGTCTTTATCAGTGACTTGGATAAAGATACAAATGGCGGCTTCATCAGATTTGCTAAAGATGCAACGCTGGGATGAAGAGTTGGCAAATGGGATAGAGATGTCAAAAGATCTCTCCAGGATAGAGGCAAACTAAAATGAAAAATAATTTTTTTTGGGGGTGGGGAGAGTGTAGAATTTGCCTTATTATAAGAAAATTTAGTAAGACTAAATGTAAAGCCCTACACTTAGGGTCAACAAATCCACTTCATTAGTAGAATATTGAGTAGCCATGGCTGGAGAAGAGTTGATCTAAAGATCTGAGGGTTCTGTTGAACTTCAAACCCAATTGGAACAGTTTGCCAGGGGTTTTGCCAGGCAGATTTAGGCTGTAAGTAAGGAGAAATCTAACAATTGCAGCCATCCCCAAATGGCATGAGCTGCCTTGTGAGGTAATGAGTTTCCCATCACTTGAGGTCTTCTAGCAAAGGATGGGCATAACCACTTACTTGTTGGAGGTTCTTGGCATTTAGTGCAACCGAATGGCCTTTGGATTTCGGTTCTGATTCTGGGAGATCTGGGGAAGATGAGTGGGGACTCAAGAGCTGGGGGAGTCGAGGGCTGGGAGAGGGATGAGAGTTGAGGATTTGGGAGAGAAATGAAATGACTGGGAGGAGGTTATTAATTCCCTAATAACCCTCAGGGAGTAAAGGGCTGGAAGAGATGATTTTGGACCAGGGAGTTAAAGGCCAGGGGAGAGGGCTAAGGGGTGAGGAAAATTAGAGGGGAGGAATGGGGTTTTGAGGGGCACCTTCTCTCAGATCCCTGACAGCAGCTCCATTGTTCGAGGCTCTATAGTTAGCAGGCAGTAGGAGGGTGGGTGGGAGGGAGGGGCTGGCACAGCTGGGGCTGGAGGTGGAGCTGGGCACAGTATAGTACAGGCTGCATCTCTAGCTCAAATCGTGCCCCCCAGGAGTGGCAGCAAGAGGAGAAGGACAACCCCATCTGCATCCCCTGCTCCCATACCTCCTCTCTGGACTCCAGGGGCAACTATTTCCGAGATCGGAAAACCAAGATTGGCGAGAAGTTGGTGAGAGGGAGATGGGTCAAGCCTTTAGGGATGCTGGAGGTCATGTCACCTATGCCCCTGCCTCCAGGGAGGACTTCTAATTCATCCTACTTCTCTCCCCCCTCCCTGTATACACACCTGGCAGTGGGAAGTGTTTTCTTAAATCCAACCCCAATTCCTCAGCTTCATGCTTTTTCTTCATATTTCAGCAACTATACTCGGACTCTATTTCCTAACATGTTTTTAGACTGAAAGACAATGATTTTTAATTCCTTGGTTTTCTTCCCTCCCACTGAATGAATGCCCAAGGATCTCCCCCATGTCAGGTGCAGAATAAGAGCTGGGGAGAGGGGAATGGAGAGGAGGTGTCCACTTAGGACCCTCTTCCCAACAGACTTTGTGCTTGTGTGGGAAGAGAAGCTGTGGCTCCCTGAGAGGGGGGCCCTGGCGGGGCTCACCAGGACTGAGTGGCAGAGGCTCCAGCATCACAGATGGTGGCAGAAATTCCAAAGGAACCTTCAGGCAGCTGGGCTGCTCCTGGAGGAGGTGAGGCCAGGTCTGCTGAGAAGGGATATGAGAGCAATGCATGGCCTCATGTCCTTTGCTTCCTGGTCTTCTCCCTGGGGATGTACCCAGCCAAGGTGCCCAGTGAGTCACTGGGTGCCTTCTTCATTCCTTTCTCTGAGGTGCAGTTCCTTCCCCTGAAGGATGAGTTGGTTGGACTGAAGCTCTGACTGGGCTAGAGCCTCACTGTCAGGGTGCCAACATGGTGGGGCACACTTCTTCCCTACACTAATCCTCTGCACTGCTCCATTCTGTTAGGGCACCACCCCTCTCCACCCTATCACCAGGATCCCGTCTGTTGTCCCCCAGGGGCTACCCAGCTTGATAGCACCACACTTTGGGGTATTTTCCCAACTCCAACTGAATTTGTGCCCAGTACCATAATTCCTATCCTGGCCCTAGTTCTAAGGACCCTTCCTCCTGTCTTCCATCCAGGGTTCCCAGATTCTGGGATCCTTCCCTCTTTCCACATCCCCATGGCCTCCAGCTGTTAGGTCAGAGTATGTATGTGTGCGTGGATAGAGGCAGGTGTTTGTCCTGACCCATGGTCTAGGGTTTGGGGTGTCTGGGCCTCTCTGACCCTCATCGTATACCCAGGAGGAGACCCCTGGGGAGCAGAGGGCAGTGCATTACCTGAAGTTGAATGCCCCTTGGGAGGTGCTGATTTACTTCGCGGAGGACCTGTGCATGAGGGCACCCTTGCAGGTGGGCTATGGGCATGGGCATGGGCAGGCCCGGGGCCTCAGAAGCAATTGAGCTGCTGAATGCCAGCTCCTGGCAACGGATGTGAGGGTGGCTACAGGAAAGTAGGACCGGGGAGCCCTGCCTCCATTGCGTCCTAGGGGGGCTGGTAAGAGGGACCAGGAAAGGCTCTCCACAGGTCCAGCCCAACCCGGACACCGATGGCTCAGCTGAGATCCTGCGTCAGCTCCGCCTCCCCAACCCCTTGCAACAACACGTACCCAACAAGCCCCTGGACTTCTATACCTGTGCCTTCCGCAGGTCCAAGCTCAGCAAGTGAGTAGTAACCCCTGGCCCTAAGGCCAATTTCTCCCATTCTAAGCAACTGTCTCCCAGCCCCAAACCACCCCATCCCCACGAGAACTGCCAGCAGAAGAGGCTCAGCTGTATCCTCTCAGGCCCGGAAGGGACCCCACCCTTTCAACCAGCACCAGCCTGAGGCCAGACACCCCTTGGAAGCAGGGAGCGCTGCATGCAGTCAGTGCCAGGTAAATGTCTATTCAATTAAACGGAATCCAGCTTCCACTGGTACCCTGTCATTGACGGTGAGCTCATTCAGTACCGTGCCATTTCGGAACAGCTCTCAGGGTTGGGAAATTCTTCCTTGTGTTGAGCTGCGGACCCTCCCCCTCCCGACTCAGTGGGATTCAGTTTAGCAAACCTTTAGTAAATACCTTCTCTGGGCCAGGCAATGAGCCCAGTGCTGAGGGCGCAGACAAAATGAGATACAATCCCTGCCCTCATTTCCCCAGTTGCTAGTGCTCCCACCTAGTCCTCCCCAATCTATCTCGCGTTCATTTGGTGTAATCCTATTATATGTGAGTTGTACATTGAATATAGTCTAATTCCACTGCCATGTTTGTGTCTTTGGATCCTCAGTGCCTGGCACATAGTAGGTGCTTAATAAATGCTTATTATTTGTATAATTGTCTATTGAGGAAAGGGGTGGTAAATGTAACACGTACAAAGATCCATAAAAACAAAGGATAATACAAAATAATTCTGAAAGGGATAGAACTCTAACAAGTAGGGGGATCAGGAAAGGAATGTGTGAAAAAGGTCACAGAAGCTGTGCTTTGAAGAAAGCTAAGGGTTCTGTGATGGGGGCAGCTAGATGATGCAGTGGATAGAGTGCTGCACCTGAAGTCAGGAAGACTCATCTTCCTGAGTTCAAATCTGGCTTCAGACACTTCCTAGCTGTGTGACCCTGGGCGAGTCACTTCACCCTGTTTGCATCAGTTTCCTCATTTGCAAAATGAGCTGGAGAAGGAAATGGCAAACCACTCTGATATCTTTGCCAAGAAAACCCCACATCGGGCCATGAAGAGTGGGATGTGAGTGAGAATAACTGAAGCATAGCAAGGATGCTGTGAACAGAGGTGGGGAAGGGAATGCATTCCAGACATGAGAGATTACCTGTGCAAAGATGTAGAGATGGTCAGTGGAGTGTTACATGTGGGAAACTGGGCTAGTCACCTAATTTAACTGAAATGGAGAGAGTGAAAGGAGTCTGTGCCTCTGTTTGCCAAGCTGGGCAGCCTGGCCTCCACCTCTAGCTTGGATCAGCTTTGGTTGGTGTGGGCATGTCTGCTGGCTTCGAGCCCTGGCCACCGTGGAGTTCGGACCTGGAATGTGAGGGTTGTGACCTGCCTTGGGCTCTGCCTCCACTGCAGGTTTCTAGGCAGCGATTCTCCAGATTCCTACTTCTCCAACACCCAGAGACATCGTGTGGTGAGTGACTGCCCACTGGGGAAAGAGGAACAGAGTGGGTGCTGAGATGGCCTGGGATGGCTCAGACCCCTCCCCACTGTACAGTTGGACACGAGGGGTCCCTCCCTCTGCAGGTGGCAGAGATCCTAGCACGCACAATGTACGGGAAGCGGAAACATACGGAGATGGGTATTGCCCGCCTGCTGGCCGAGGGGGTCTACACTGCTGCCTTCCCATTGCATGAGGTAGAAGCTCCCAGATGTGTTAGGCATCTCCCTGGGAAATGGATCCAACAGGCTTTGGTTCCTGGCTTTGGTTCCAGACCGCTGCTTCTGGCATCAAATGCACATAAAGCACGGAAATCTGCCCAACCTTGAAAGTGCTATCCAGATGTGAAATGATGTTACTGATGATTCTGGCCACCCCCTGTCACACCCTTCTGACTCTCTTCCTTCCCAGGGCCCCTTTGAGCTGCCTGGGTATCACGTGCCTGGCGCAGACTTGAACCCTCGGCAGTTTCTGTATGCCTACTGGGCACGCTGGTGCTGTTGGCACAAGTACCAGCCTCTAGACCACATACGCGAGCATTTTGGGGAGAAGGTGGCTATCTACTTTGCCTGGCTAGGTGAGGTGGTCGTAGGGTCAGGGGCTATGTTCCTGGATAAGTGCTGGTCAGGCTCTTATCACCCTGTTCCCTGCCTTTCCAGGCTTCTACACCGCCTGGCTACTGCCTGCTGCCATTGTGGGCACCAACACCCCTGTGTGAGTGTGTGCAGGGCATGCCTGGAGTGGCCTGTCCGCGTGTCTAGTCAGGCACCTGGGCACTAGAGGAGGGAGGGCAGGTACAGGGGGCATTCCAGTTAGCCTCAGCCTCTGCCTTCAGGGAGGAGATTTGTACCAGCGGGGGCACCCTCATCATGTGCCCACTCTGTGCTACATCTCGGAGATCTGTCCCATGGCCAAGGTGAGCCAGAGAGGTATGGAAAGTTGGGTGGGGGAATCTGATCCAGCGGGGCTTAGAAGCCCGCCTTACAGTGCCTAGAAATTGGCCTTTCTCCTTCCCAAGCCATTCTCCATGCAGCTGCTAAGTTGATATTACTAAAGTCCAGGCCTGATTGTGTAACCCACCCTGGCTGCTGTTTGCCTCAGCTTCCTCATTTGCACCCTGTTTGCCCCTGCATTCTTAGGACTGCCATGGTCTTGCATCTGTCCTGCCCCTGAATGTATTATCTCCTCCACTGGAGTGTGGGCTTGTTTAACATCCAGGACTGCATTACCTTTTCTGTTCCATATTCACTTCTTATCACAGTGCTTGGTACAGAGTAAACACTTAAGTGCTTTTTTTTAAATTACAATTTTTAAAAATTAAAAATTTCCCCCCCATTTGCTCCTCTGCTCAAGAAGCTTGCATGGCTCCCTATTGCCATGATAAAATAGAAGCCTCTCTTTTTGGCATCCCAAGTCCTTTACAGTCTGGCTCCAGACTGATTTCCCATTTCCCCACCACATGCACTGTGCATTCCAACCCAACAGTCTGCTGTTCCCCAGAGGACGTGGCATTTCTGCCTGTTCTCTTGTGCGCTCGGTCCTCCATATCTGGAATGCCTTCCCTCCTTACCATCCCCTCTTGGTATCCCTGTCTCTATTTAAGGATCGGCTCAAGGGGCCATTCATGACTCCTCCCCACCTCCCCAAATCACTTGGTAATTTACTTTGCACATATTTTGTATTTCCTTGTCTGTATGCAAATTGTCTTTCCTCAGTAAACTCTAAGCACCTTGAGGGCAGGGGCCATTTTCATTTTTGTCCTTGTGTCACCAGTGCCAAGCATGACCGGCACAGAGTGGGTGCTTAATAAAAGTTTGTTGAATTGAATTGAGTTGGTAGCCTGGTCCCCCAGTCGCCAACACGTTATATTTGGAGTCAGGAGACACAGGTTTCAATAGGCTTTGCAGGCAGCATGGGATAGAGTGTCAAACTTGGAGCTGGGAAGACATGAGTTCAAATTTTACCTAAGACACTTATTAGCTCAGTGCCTCTGGCTTTTAGGCTCAGTTCCTATACCTGTGAAATGGGGATAATAATAGAGCTTCCCAGGGTGTCTGTGAGGATCAAATGATATAACATATATGAAATATTTGGCAAACCTGAAAGTGCTAGCTATTATTATTGTTATCATTGCTTACTAGCTATGTGACCTTTGGCAAAGTCTTTCCCCTGTCTGGGCTTTACCTGAAAGATGAGGAGATTGGAGCAGATGACCACTGAGGTCTCTCCTGGCTCTAGAACTAAGATTCTGTTATCAATGAGCCTAGAGGACTAGGGTCCCAGGCCCACCCCAGGTCCCTTGTTCTTCTCCCTGTAGCTGGGCTACCTCTTTGACAATCCAGGGACCGTCTTCTTCAGCATCTTCATGTCCTTCTGGGCCATGGCCTTCCTGGAGCACTGGAGGCGGAAGAATGCCACTCTGGCCCACCACTGGGACTGTGCAGACTTCCAGGAGGAGGAGGTAACTTCCCCCTCCTCAACTCCCACACTAGGTTCCTTCCCAAGCCCTTGCTGGCATTTAGCGAGACCCAACCTCAGGGCCGTCCTGGCACAGGATGGCCAGGTTCCCATTTTTTTTAACTTCTCAGGGGCCCTGTGTTCCAGATATCCCATTTCTGTTTTTAAATTAATTTATTTTGAATTATCAACAATCACTTCCATAAGCTTTTGAGTTTAAAATTTTCAGATATCCCATTTCTCCAAATTCTTAGTAGTTTACAAGGATCAGTTTACAAAGATTGACCAAGGCCTACTATGCTAAGACTCTGGGCTAGGGACTGTGGGGGATTCACAGAGGGGGACAGGGTGGCATAGTGGCTGAGTGGAGAATCTCCTTACTGCTACTTAATAGCTGTGTCCCTTACCTTCTCCAGTGCTCAGTAAATAAAGGGATTGGAGTAGCTGGTCTCTAGATCCCTTTCACTTCTAATTTCTGTGTTCCTAAGAATTAGACATAATCTTTGACCTCAAGAAACCCACATCAGGGGAGACCAGTTGAAGACATAAGAAGAGTTAAATGAAACATCTTATGATAAACAAACAGATAAATAATATGGCTAAGATCCAGGCATAGACTCAAAAGGCCTTCTGTGGCAAACATCCAAGTGAAACTGACCAGCAGTCTGTAGCATTAAAAAATATATCTGAGTCATGTGGACTTACTTCTAGACATGGAGAGGTTTATGATGGCAATTCAGGACCAGGTCATTGCTACCAGAAATTAAGGAAAAGTTCTCCCTAAAGAGACTGGTCTTTGTGTTCAGTGTTAATTATGCAAGATGATAGAAATTGAGAGACATCATCACCACTGGCTATAAAAATTTAGCACTAATGAATATCTAAGAAAACTTGGTCAGGCAGCTGGAATTATGCCTCAAAAGCTCTCTCTCTTTCATGGACAGACAGACGACAAATACAGATCTAGATATATACTGGAGAACTCAGCCAATGAACCATACTGAAACCAGAGAGTTCCAACACAAACAGAATCACTGATCCCAACCACCCTGACATGACATTGCCCCACAAAAAATTCAAGAACAGCGTTTTTAGTAGATGTCGCTAATCCAAATACTGATCATCTCCAAGCTGCCTAGATAAGAAAAGCTTTCAAAATATATAGACCCAAATGACCACACTCCTTTGGAATGGACTCCATCATGCCCCCAAACTGGGTACTTTCCTTCCCCCTCTTCTTCCTTTTGTGTGTTATCACCGCCCTTCATTAGACTGTAAGCTCCTTCAGGGCAAGGATTTTCTTTTTCACATTTATATATCCAGTTCTTAGCACAGTGGCTGGCACATAGTAGGAGCTTAATAAATGTTGATTGGCTAACTGACTGAATGTGGTAATGGGATAAGGTACATACCACGTTCATTGTTCTGGCTGCCATTGGAGTTGTTCTAAGGATGCTTGCAGGGAGCCTGGGATTATTTTCCATCCTAATACTTTTATTCATCCACAAAACTGTCCTTTTTATCCACTTGTACAATATTAAAGAATATTAACAGGAGGGCTACTTGTCTCAGGACTTCTCTCTCTGAATCTCATTAAAAATAAAAGGAATAAGATAATAACAATAACAATAATAAAAATAATACCCCTCCAAAAAAGCCAACCCAGCATCCATGTCCTGAGGCAGGGACAACAGCACTCTGGGCCAAGTCAAGTTAACAAGCTTTTACTAAGCACCTGCTATGTGCCATCACTGTTCTTTGTGATGGGAATACAAAGTACAGTAAAAGACAGTCCCTGCTCTCAGAGAGCTTCTAGTCCAATGGGGGAAACAACTTGCAAACACTTATGTACAAACAGTATAAATTGTACCATGGTAGCTGGGAAGGCTTGGCAGAAATCTGAATGTTGGCCAATTGAGATCTGGTGATACCACGGACTGGGTTCACACCCTGGCCAGTGTGATGTAACTGTTCCTATGAAACTAAAAAATGGACAGAATGCTTAGGGCTACAGATTGGCCTCACTCAAAACACTCATGGTGATTAGCTTGATGTAGAGAACAGCCGAGTAAATGGTGCCCATTCAAGATGACAAGACACGTGGTCAAATCTGAAATTTACCAAATACTCCACCTGTTGGAGCTTCAGGGTGGCTGGCACTGACCAGGAAAGTGGGCAAAAAAACACAAGTACACGTGAAATAGACTGTAGATATAAATCCTCTTATTATGGTCCAGTATTATATCATTGATGAAACTGGTAGCAAGGCTTACCAGTCATTAGTAAGGGATTCCTTCTGCTTTTTGTCAGCAATGCTCTCAGCTCCCAGCTATGGAACAGCACATTGCAGATGAACACAGGGAACTCTTGAGAAGCCACTTCCTGCCTTAATTCAGATTAGATGAGACAAAAGCAGAAACAAAATCAGAAGAGGGAGAAACAGAAGAATCTGAAGGCATCAAAATCTCCACCTAACACAGACTCCAGGGTGCAAGCTGATAACAAAACTGATGGCAAAAATAATGGTGATGTCTTGAGTGATTTTGAAAAGCAGATGGGCTGGAATTTCAAAAAGCCCTTTTTGAGTTTGGTAGCATGAAGTCAACTAATTGAGCAATTATACCAAAATAGAGTGATTCAGAAACATTGGATCTGCTCTGACTGTCATGAATGAACACATGTTCCCATTATATTTGACAGAGTGTAAGAGGATTCCTATCTATGTACGGGACCTATGTACAACAATGATATGTGCTTTGACCGTTGCCAGTAAGGAGCAGAGGAAGAAGAGTGCAGTGATCCAGGAATACTCCTAAAGATGTGGGTCAAATACCACTGTGGCAGAATTGGCTTAAGAAAACTATTGGATATCTGCAGAAAGACACTGAAAGATCACATCAGTACCTAATTGGTATGTGGCTGTAGGAAATGTGAACACCGTCTCCCCCAGTTAAAGACATCCCAAAAGAGGCATGTAGAATGGAAACCAGGAAGCAAGAATATATCATAAATTATCAACATCCTTAATCAATACTTAAAAGCAAAAGTCCCAAAAGACTTGATCACAGAGACTTAGGGAAATCAGAGGAGAGAGAATTCTTCAATAAAATTCCTGGCTACCTATATGGCACACAACAAAAACATGTGATATCAAATAAGAAGTAGAAAATATTCCCATCATTAATATGATAAATGACAGAAGAGTCATGGCAAGGGATGATATAACCAAATCTTCTAGCTTCTCTGCAAAATGGGAAAAGAGCAAAATATTGAAACAGGAGCATCATTACAGACAGAAGCTGTTACTCATGACTGCCCAGGTATGCACTGACACATGGAAATCTGAAAACAATGTGTTAACAGATGTTGCCATACCAAACATTCATAATCTCCAAACCTCATAGAATGTAAAACTTTCAAAACATAGAGATCTAGTGAGAAGAAATCAAAACCATATGGGAACAGGAAGGGGTGTAGATCAACCCCATCATCCTGCCTGCTGCTGGAGTTGTTCTAGGAGTCTGCCAAAGATGATTTACATCCCAATACTCTTATTTAATTATGAAATACAAGATTTTATTCATCTGAGCCTTAGTTTGAAGAACCTAAACTATAAAAGAGTAATAGCAAAGCAGCAACTTGTTTCTATCTGAACTATCTGGCTCTTTCTATCTGAACCCCATCAGAAAGGATGAAAAGAAGATAATGGTAGTAATAAGAAGAATCATGGGACCATAGATTTAGAGCTAGAGAGGTCCAGCAATTTGCCCAATGTCACACATGTAGTATGTGACAGATCCAGGATTTGAATCTAGACTTCCTTAGAGGAAGCTAGTGACAGAGTGGACAGAGCACTGAGCCTGGAGTCCGGATGATCTGAGTTCAAATCTGCCTCAGAAACTTACTAGCTGTGTGACCCTGGGCAAGTCACTTAACCTCTGTCTGCCTCAGTTCCCTCAACTATAAAATGGGAATAACAACAGCACCTCTTTTGCGGGGTTGTTCTTCCAGGGTTGTTGTGAGGAGCAAATGAGATAATATTTGTAAAAAGCACTTAGCACAGTGCCTGGCAGGTAGCAGGTGCTGTATAAACACTTATTGCCTTCTTTCCTTTCTCTTTGGACTCCAAATCCTGTGCTGTTTGCATTTTGGTCTATTCCTGAAATGGGTGGCTTTTTAATACTAAATAGGGTTATTATAGGAGATCCGAGAAGGGAGAGCACTGTGAGCAGAACAGATCAGAGAAGGCTTCCTGGAGGAGGTGAGGGCTGAAGGATGGGAGGATTTGGACATGGATGGGTGTTCCAATTGGAGATGGAGGGAGTAGTAAGAGCTTCTGTTCCCAGCATCCTCAGGGCTCTTGGGCTCTTAGCCTCAAACTGCCCCAGTTTCCCCTCACCTTGTCCTTTCTTCTATGTTGGCCATTCAGGATGTCAAGCCAGCCAAGCTAATCCCTGCCCCATCCTCTATCTTTGTCAGGAACGTCCCCGCCCAGAGTTTGCAGCTATGGCACCTCAGATGGCTCAGAACCCTGTAACTGGACTAAAAGAACCTTACTTCCCCTCTAGGGCCCGCCTCTCCCGCATGGTCACTGGATCCATGGCCATCCTCATCATGGTGAGGAGCTGGGAGGTAGGAGGAAGGCATGGGATGGCCTCAGCCCGGGAGAGGCCAGAGCGGGCAGGCTGGTGGGAGAAGGATCGGAGGCCTAACCAACAAATAGAGAGGGTGATAGGCAGCCTTTCCTGGGGCAGAGCCTCGGGCCCAATCTGAGCAGGCATTTCCCAGGCACTGACTCTCCCATGCTTCTGGCCCCACAGCTGTGTGTGGTGATGATCTTCCTGGTATCCGTCATCATGTACCGCGGCATTGTCAGTATTGTGATGTTCCATACAGGCAACCCTGTGCTCATGACCCAGGCAAGGACTGTTGCAGGGCAGGGAAGAGGAAGGCGTGGGGGAGGGGGTGGTGATGTCCGTCTTTGCCCTTCCTCATATTCCCACAACTGGCCTCCAGGCAGATAATGTAATGAAAAACAGATGATCTGAATCCTGGCTGTGCCACTTAATTGCTGGGTAGCCTTGGGCGAGTAATTTCTCCTCTCTGGCCCTCAGGTTACTCCTTTGCTGGACACCATGATCTTACAAGTTCCCATCCATGCCTGATTATTCTAAGGGCCCTCCCAGCTCTGACATTATGTTTTAAGGTCCCTGCCAGGTGTAAACCCTGTCACCTATTCCATGGTGACTCTGGGGAGGCGCCTCCCTGATTCCTGGTCCCCGGTGGTTGGTGGACTCTGCACACGAGCAGGGAGGAGCCCCTGGAGGGAGAGAAGCAGGCATCAGGGTGTGGGCTTCATGGGTGGGCCTGGGCAGGGAGGGGCAGGCGGTCCCAGGTAACCAGCAATGGCTGCTTTGCAGGCTGGCAACATTGCCAACATCAGCAGTACCTTCCTCAACCTGGTGCTGATTCTCCTGATGGGAAAGGTGTACACCTCGCTAGCGGAGCAGCTCACCAAATGGGGTCAGTAAGGCTGGGACAGGGCCGGGGGGGGTTCAGGGGAGTCTGGTGGCCTCTGTCCAACATTATCACAAAGCACTTCAACCAGCTGTGCATAGTCTGAGAATTGGAAGACCTTCTAGACTCCACCTGAGTAGGAATATACCTGACAAAAGAGCAGCAGGTTTTGCTTGAAGTCTTCCAGTGAAATCAAGAGGCCTGAGTTCAAATCTTGGCTCTGTGTGACTTTGGGCAAGTTACTTCACCCGTCTAGGTTTCAGTTTTCTCATCTGTAAATTGAGCAGGTTGGAGCAGATAATTTTCAAGATCTCTTCTAACTCTGAATCTGTGATCGTATGAACTTTAATTTTGCCCTATTTGGGATCTCCTAGAGTGGGAACTTCCTTCACCAAAGCAGATCGCACCCTTCTGTAACTTAGTAGCTAAGCCCTAGAGAGCTGTCTATGGTTCCCTGAAGTTAAGAGTCACAGGCAGGATGTGAACCTTGGTCGTACTTGACTCCCCTTGGCCATATGGTCTCACTAGTAACAAATGGCAATCCTACAGTGATCTCCCAAGGCAGCTTATTCATAACACCTTAGGTTAGCTCTAATTGTTACAGAGAGCTAACACTCTAAATTTCACCTTACATAAAGCTAAATCTACCTTTCTGTAGTTTCCACCCATCCCTCCTAGTTCTGCTCCTTGGAGTCAAGCAGAACAAAGCTAGTTTCTCCTCCACAGGACCTGCCTTTCAGATACTTGGAAACAGAATTCTTCATTTCCCCTTCAAGTCTTCTCTAGGCTAAACAACTCAAGTTCCTTCAACCAGGCCACAATTGGTATAGTCTTTAATTTCTTTTTTTTAAACTTTTATTAATTTATTTTGATTTATCAACAATCACTTCCATATTCTTTTGAGTTGAAAATTTTTCTCCCTCTTCCTCCCCCCACCCTCCCCGAGATATAATCTTTAATTTCTTAAAATTTATTTTTATTTTATTATTTTCAGTTCTGAGTTTTCTCCCCCTCCTTCTCCTAATTTCTAGCCCATTGAGAAAGTAAGAAAAACAAAACCTCTTATAAATATGGATAGTTGTGCAAAACAAATTCCCACATTAGCCGTGTTGAAGAAGAAAAAGAAAAAAGAAAATATGTTTCAGTTTGTACTCTGAGTCCATCCATTCTCCATCTGGAGACTGATAGTATGTTTCGCCATGAGTCCTCTGGAATTGTGGTGGGTCCTTGAGTTGATCACAGTTCCTAAGTCTTCCAGAGTTGATTATCTTTACAATATGGCTATTATTATATACATTGTTTCTTTAGTTCTGCTCACTTCACTTTGTATCAGTTCATATAAGTCTTCCCAGGACTTTCTGAAACCATCCCCATCATCATTCTTAGAGCAAAATAATATTTCAGGTGGTGCAACCTACCTACAGTCCCTTTCCCATCATGGTCACCCGTTTCTGGACATGCTTCTTCTTGTTAATATCCTTGACAAAATAGGATGCCTAGAAGTGAACCTGGGACTGCAGATGGGTCCTGACCAGGCTGTAGGATTAGCAGACCTCATTCCAAATACTATGCTCCAATTAATATACCCCCAAATCATACAATCAATCAACAGACATTTATTGAGTGCCTATTTTGTGCCAGGCACTGGAGAGGCAGCACAACATGGTGGGCAGAGGGCTAGCCTTGGAATCAGGAAGACCAGAGTTCAAGTCTGACACGTATTGGAAGAGGAATAGGCCATAGTCTGCATGGTACCAGAGGAAAGAACTAGAATCTGTGGAAGGAAGTCACAGAAAGACAAATATAGGGAAACTTGCTCAAATTTAGAGCTGTTCACCAATGGAATGGGCTGCCTTGGGAGCTCCTAGGAGCACTGATGTAGAGCTGGAAGGGGTCCTAGAGGTTGTGAAATCCACTCCCCTCATTTGGCAGCTAAGGGAATTTAGGCACAGATGGACTTTTCCAGAGTCACCCAGCTAGGCAGCAGCAAATGAGATTTCTGCCTAACTCTCAGTCCAGGGCCTCATCTACTCCACCTCCCTAACAGCTCCCTCATGGAGGTCTTCAAGCAGAGGATGGTGATCACTTGTCCTGTATGTCATAGACAGGGGAAGGGAGGGTTCTAATTCAAGCACAGCTGGGATGGTCTCTAAGGTCCCTTTCACCTCTGAGATTCTGAGTTTCTGAGACCCAAGAGCAAACTTTGCCTCTCCTGCCATTGTGTTTGGCACCCAAGGGTCCCCAGAGCCCGCAGAGTTGTGAAATACTCCTGAGAGTTCCTAGAGTGGGGAAGGGAAAGCAAGCCAGAAACTTCTGTGGTCAATATTGGGCGAATCAAGAAAAGCAAGAAAGGTGGACCATGTTAGGGGTGGTCTTGGTCTCTCCCCAGCTGGACCTCTGATTACCTTTAGTTTACTTCCATTCAACAAAATCCCTTCCCCACAAATCCCCAGAGATGCACCGGACACAGACCCTTCATGAAGATGCCTTCACTTTTAAAGTCTTCGTCTTCCAGTTCATCAATTTCTACTCCTCCCCCTTTTATGTGGCCTTTTTCAAAGGCAGGTGAGTGGGTGTGGCAGCTGGACCTGAATTTCAAATGTGGCCTCAGATACTTAATGGCGGTGTGACCCTGGGCACATCATTTCATTTCTGTTTGCCTCTGTTTATCTACAATCTTCATTTGTAAAATGAGTATAAGAGCACCTATTTCCTAGGGTTGTTTTGAGGATCAAATGAAATAGTATCTGTAAAGCATTTTGGAAACCTTAAAGTGCTGTATAAACGCTAGTTATTATAACAAGTCCTGGAGAATTTCCTAAGACATAGAAGCTAACTTGCCCAGCTCTGACATTCCGTGCTCTAAGGGCCCTCCCAGCTCCGACATTCTATGTTCTAAGGGCCCTCCCAGCTCCGACATTCTGTGTTCTAAGGGCCCTCCCAGCTCCGACATTCTGTGTTCTAAGGGCCCTCCCAGCTCTGACATTCTATGTTCTAAGGGCCCTCCCAGCTCTGACATTCTATGTTCTAAGGGCCCTCCCAGCTCTGACATTCTGTGTTCTAAGGGCCCTCCCAGCTCTGACATTCTGTGTTCTAAGGGCCCTTCCAACTTAAGGTTTATGAATTCCTGGCCTGTTTGTGAGTAGATTTGGGGATGGTGTTGGCTGGTAAGTCCAACTGGTGGTTTGGGCCCTGCAGGCTTGTGGGCTACCCTGGACAATATGGCATACTGCTGGGCATGAGGAATGAGGATGTGAGTACCTCTTGAGCAGGCAGGCCCAGGAGGACCCCTAGCCCTGACCCTGCATGCTTCCCCCCGATCTCTGCAGCCCCTGTGGATCAGGGCATGTCAGGGCCAGTACCCACAAAAGAAGGACAGGAGACAGAAGGTAACAAGGGGTGTTTCCTCCTAACCCAATGTAAATTCTTTGAGGGCTGGGATATTTTATTTTGGTCTTTGTGGCCCCAGAACCTCCACATTTTGTGGTGGTGTTTCAGACCTGTGCTTTTATCATATGTGGGGAACTCCTTGGTGAGGAAAGTCACTCCATCAATGCAGATGAGCACCTGCCTGGGACCCTGGGAGGTTCAGTGACTTGTCCAGAGTCACACAGCCAATTGGTGTCAGAGGCAGGACTGAAGCCCAGGTGTTCCACTGGGCTACAGTCTCTCGCTTAGGAGGAACTTCTAAATGCTTTTTGAATGAATGAATGTGTCTTATGCCAAGAGGTACGAGAAGGTGACAATGGTTATCTCCACCTGTGAAGTGTAGATGGGTGGCACTGGCCCTGTCCTATGCCCTGAGGGCCCAGGGTGATGGGGCTTCTCTCTGGTGCCCGCAGTGTAGACCTGGTGGCTGCCTCATTGAATTAGCTCAACAGTTGTTCATCATCATGGTGGGCAAACAGCTGGCCAACAATGTGGAGGAATTTGTCTTGCCGTGAGTTCCCAGTGGGTGCCGAGCGGGTTGGGGGCACCAGCCAGGTGGGGCCTGCAGAGGGGGGAATCTACCTGGGGGCCATCAGGGCTCCCTAGTCCTTCTTTCTTCCGTCTTCCATCCTCCGTGTGCTGGGCCATCTCCAGTTGTTCTAATCTATGTCTAGTCACTGGACGCAGATGGCTCCACAGGAGAGAGTGAGGCTGGTGACTTTGCACAGCCCTGCCTCACCTAAATCCAATTCACTTGCAAGTCATGGCATCGTCTTCCTGATGTCATGGTTCTCTTTGAGAATGAAGGATGAACCACACACAATCTTTCATGTTCATAGGAAGATAAAAGCTTGGTGGCAGAAGCGGCAACTGGCAAGCCTGTGGGGAGCCCAAATGGGGCATGACCCGCGACGCTGGGAGGATGACTATGAACTCATCGAGTGTGAAGGACTGTTTGAGGAGTACCTGGAGATGGGTGAGCTGGGCATACCCCAGATATCCCCCTCCATTGGGGGAGGTGGGATTTGATGGGAGTGACTGATAGACCAGGCAGCTCTCCACAGGGAGTAGGACCATACTATGGCCCTTGGGACCTGAGCTCTCACAAACCCAGCATCTTCAAGACCAAGGAGTCAGTCAACAAACATTTACTACTTTGTGCCAAGCACCATGCTAGGTACTAGGGAAACTAAGGCAAAAAGTGAAAAAGACTTTGCTCACAAAGAGCTTACATTCTATTGAGAATGCAAGGTTAAGGGGAGATCTGACCCTTAGCTTCCCCCATGCCCTGTAGTGCTACAGTTTGGCTTCATCACCATCTTCGTGGCTGCCTTCCCCCTGGCACCTCTCTTTGCACTATTGAACAACTGGGTGGAGATCCGCCTGGACGCCCACAAGTTTGTGTGTGAGTATCGGCGGCCTGTGGCCGAGCGGGCCCAGGGCATCGGCGTCTGGTTGCTCATCCTGGAGACCATGGCCCATCTGTCGGTCATTATCAACGTGAGCCAGGGTTGTGGGCAGGGGAGGCAGGGAGCAGGGATTATGAATCAGAAATCAGAAAAGTGGGAATCAGGAATCAGAGCTGAGATTTGGGGCTCAGAAATTGAATATTAGGATCAGAGTCTAGAAACTGGGGCTTGGGCATTGTGGCCTCAGGGCAAGTACTGGAGAAGGTTTTAATGATCTAAGTGATTGAAGATCACTAGGAATCAGGATCAGAGATGGGGGATTGGAGATCAGGGATCAGAAGTAGGAGCTCGAGCTCTAGGGAGCAGAGATGAGAATGAGCAATTGAGAGCTCAGAGATCAGAGGAGGGCTTGGGAATCAGATCAAAGCCCAGGGACCAAAGGCTAGGAACCCAGAAGTCGGGGATCAGAGAATAGATTGAGGCTCGGAGATGGAAATGGGGTCTTGGGATCAGAAAGGGGAGATCCAAGATCAGGAACCAGGCCACAGAGGCCTGGGACTCTCGTTGGAGAGTCAGAGAAGGAAGAAGCAAGAACACCCTGGGTTACTGGGAGTTGGGGACCCCAAACAGATCTCTCTCCTGTGACCTTCTTTTTTGTCCCCCAGGCCTTCCTCATTGCCTTCACCTCGGACTTCCTGCCCCGTCTCCTATACCAGTATGAGCACCACACTCATCTGCAGGGTTATGTGAACTTCACCCTGGCTCAGGCACCCCGTGCCTACCTGGCCCAGGGCAACCACACCCCCTGCAGGTGTGGGCGAGGAGCAGAATGGGGGGCAGGAGGCAGGGGGAAGGGGCATGTGTGTATTAGGATGCCTATAGTGTGCCCCCTTCCCTCTCCTTGCTGACCCCAGGTACAAGGCCTTCCGGGATGAAACTGGGGATTTTACCCTCTTCTATTGGAAATTGCTGGCTGTGAGATTGGGTTTCATCCTGGCATTTGAGGTAAGGAGCCCCCTGAGCTGAGGGGCTGACCCTTCTCATCTGCTTCCTCCTCACCCTATCCCTAACCACCATCTCCAGGCTGCCACTGGACTGACCAGTCCTGGATGATGATGTGATCAGTAGGATCAAGATAAAATGCCATATCTCATGATCTCAGAGATCTAGAGATGGAAGAGCCACCCTCCTCATTTTCAGGAGGGGAAACTGAGGCCCAGAGAAGGGAAGTGACCGCCCAAGGCCACAGAGATAGTGTCAGAGCTGGGATTGGAATCTCCCTGGTCCTCAGATTCCTTATCTATAAAAGGAGAGGGTTGGACCAGGGGACTTTTGAGGTCCCTTCTTAGATCTATGTTTGTGGCTGTGAATAATAACAACAATAATTCCCATTTCTTAATACTTTAAAGTTTACAGAGTGCTTTTCTCACCACTATCCAATGAACTCTGTAATGTGATTATTACGATTCCCATTTTACATATGAAGAAACTGAGGCTGTGGGAGTGGGCAAAGTGAGTTGCCCAGGGTTGTATAGCAATTGCCAGAATCCAGATTTGAACCCAAGTTTCTCCTGACTCAGAAGTCCGGCCTCTCTCTACTCCTCCCCTCTCTCTCTCTGCCTTTCCTTACCAATCACCTGAGCCCCGAAGCATCCCTGGGCAGAGAACTGCTGGCCCTGCTGGCAGAACCCAGGTCCCATGGTCCTTCTCTCTTCCTGTGCCATACCCTGATCCTCCTTCCTGTCTCCCTCACCTCTCTGTCTCTGTGTCTCCTCCAGCACGTCGTGTTTTTCTTCCTTCGGCTTATAGCCTGGCTGGTGCCTGATGTGCCTGCAGACCTGGCATTGCAGGTGAAGCGAGAGCGCTACCTGGCCAAGCAGGCTCTGGCTGACAACCAAGATGTCCTGTTTTCGGTGAGGGCCCCCCGGCTCCAGACAGGTCTTTGCCCGACAATGTCCTTGATATCCAGGGTCCCTCTGCCTTTGGACATAGATCATAAAAGTTACAGCTGAAAGGAACCATAGAGATCATCTCTGCTAGCCCCCTCATTTTAATTTTTTTTTTTTGGGCTAGGCAGTGGGGTTAAGTGACTTGCCCAGAGTCACACAGCTGGTAAGTGTCAAGTGTCTGAGGCTGGATTTGAACTCAGGTCCTCTTGACTCCAAGGATGGTGTTCTATCCACTGTGCCACCTAACTGTTCTCATAGCCCCCTCATTTTAGAGAAAGAAACTGAGGCTCAGACAGGGGAAGGCACTTGTCTAAGGTCTCACAGGTCAAAAGTAGCCCAGTTTGGGATCTAAACCCAGGGCCTGTGTCTCCAAATCCAGTGCTCTTTCCACTAGACCACTTTGTGTCCCTGGCAATGGGATCATAGCCTTAGGGGTGGATGGGACCCATGACTGTCCTTTAGCTCATCTCCCCCCATTTCACAGATGGTGGAAGCAGAGTAGGGGATTGACACCATGTGGCTCCCAATATAGCCCTCTTTGGGCAGCCCCAGCTCTGCCTGGGAAGCTGTTCCAAGTGAGCTTCCTTCTTTTCCCGCTACAGCAGGGTACCTGTTCCCTAGGCCCCCAGAAGAGAGTCCACTGAGATCGAAGGAGCCAAAGCCCCAGGAGGGCATCTGACACCATTGACCTCAGGCAGAGATGTCAGAGCATGTGCAAAGTGCTAAAAGAAGTCTCTGGAACCATCTTCTGGGTTCTCCGATCTTTCCTCATCCCCTAACCCTTCTGATGATCTTTATATCTAAATTTTTTATCTTCTCCCCAATTATTAGGCAATTAATAAAAGTTAGTTGTATGAATGAATGAGTGAATGAGTGAATGAATGAGTTAATGAATGAATGAGTGAATGAGAGTGAATGAGTGAGTGAGTGAGTGAGTGAATGAATGACCAAGTAAAAGAATGAATGGATGGCCTGTGTCCCAGTGGCTTTTGAGAATGGGGGTTCCCAGATTTTAGAGCTTTTCTGAATTCCTAGAGTTGGAAGTTATCTTGGCCCCCCATCTCACCATGTCCCCCCACCTCCTTCCCCTTTCTAGGTCCTGCCAAGGAGCTCAAGGGAGCCCTTGTGCCCTCTCCCCTCAGCCCAGCATGCCTTTTCTTCTCTCCTGGCATGTGCCGCTCTCTGGACAGAGCTACCAATAAATAGCAACTGTGAGCTGGATCGTGGGACTTCTGTGATGGGGAGAAGTGAAGAAGAGGAGGAGGAGGAGGCAGTGTGGGCATTTGGGTCCCTTCCTTAATTTGGAGTGGGATGTTGTTCAGTCATTTCACTCGTATCTGACTCTTTGTGACCCATTTGGGGTTTTCTTGGCAGAGATACTGGAGTGGTTTGCCATTTCCTTCTCCAGCTCATTTTATAGATGAGGAAACTGAGGGTTAAGTCACTTCTCCAGGGTCACACAGCCAGTGAGTGTCGGAGGCTGGATTTGAACTCATGAAGATGAGTCTTCCTGACTCCAGGTCCAGGGCTGTCTATCCACTGAGGCAAAGGAAGAGGGCCCTGGAATAGGGGAGCAAGGTTTTTGCTTCTTTCCTGCCTCTAGGGCTGTGCCATCTGTCTCAGGGAGATCCTACCCTGTGGAACTCGTTCCCACCAGGAGAAAGTAACTGACAGGACTCTAAAGTCCCCCCACTCCCCATCTTGTGACAGGCCCCCCTCTCCCCAAGGTTGAGGGTGGAGGAAGTGGCAATCTTTGTATCCCATGTCCTGTGGGACCCATCCCCCATGGAACAGGGAAGTCAGCAGGGCTGTGAGGTCTGAAATCCTCTGCCTCAAGGCGCCATCTCCTGACCCCTGAAGGGATAAGGTGACAAGCATCTCATGATCTAAAGCTGGAAAGGATGTTGGAGGTCATCTTGTCCCCAGTTTAGAGGAGGGTCCGGAGGGCTCAGAGGAAGGAAGCAGCTTGCCCCCAGGTCACACAGGTAAGAAATAGTAGAATGAAAATGTGCCCACCCAGGCTCTGTGACCCCAACTGCAGCCCGGAGGGGGCTGCCTCGGGGCTTGGACCTTTAGCCCTGGCCCTCCTGCAGGCCCCCATGGGGAGGCGGCAGCAGGGGTGTGATCCCAGCATCCTCCACCCTGGGTCCAGCTTTTGGGGTTCCCATCCTGCTGCTTCTGTGGAAGTGCCTCTTCCTCTGTTGAGGTACCTTGGAACAGCACATCCAGGGCCCCTAAGGTGTTTGCTGGTCACTAGTCACAGATTCATAGGATCCAGAGCTGGAAAAGGCCTCAGGACAGAGTAGAATGTAAGCTCGTGGAGGGCAGGACTGTCTTTTATTTTGTCTTTGCTATATCCAGTACCCAGTACATAGTAACTGCTTAATGAAAGCTTATTGCTTAAATAAATAGAGAATGTCAGGGCTGGGAGAGGCCTTAGAACACAGAACGTCAGATCTGGGAGGACCCTTAGAACACAGAATGTCAGATCTGGGAGGACCCTTAGAACACAGAATGTCAGAGCTGGGAAGGCCCTTAGAACAGAGAGAGTCAGAGATGGAAGGGCCCTTAGAACACAGGATGTCAGAGCTGGAAAGAACCTTAGAACACAGGATGTCAGGGCTGGGAGGGACCTGATACTTCATCTAGCCTTATGGATCATCCCCTTTTACAGAGGAGTAAACTGAGGCCCTGAGGAAGGAAGCACCTTGCTCGAGGTAGTGCTTGGTGTCTTTTGAGGTGTCCTAGAAGAGAGGGTGGTCTGTCTCCTGAAAATGTTGGGTAGGAGTCTGGGCTGAGTTAGGGAAGCCTGGGGCCCCTGGCGTAAGGCCCCATTCTGGGATCCCCCAGCCCTCTGCCAGGACAAAGGGCTTCCATTGTACTGGGCTCCCCCTCCTTTCTCCACCTCTGCCTGCTCCCCACTCACGCCCTACACTGGCCAAACCTGTTCTGGAGATGGGGGATGGGGGGTGGCAGGCAGGTTGAAACAGCACAGCTTCCCCCTCCCCCTCTGCCTGCCTTCCCCACACACAATACCCCAGGCCCTGAGCGCAGGCACCCACACCATCGGCTCAGAACCGTGGCAGGCCTGGGTCAACTCCCACCACCACTCCCATCCCCTTAGCCCAGTCCTGGGAGAGCCATCTCCGTCTTCCCCGTCGGGAGCCTGGGATGGGTTGAGATACCCAAGGGACGGTCCCCACAGCTTCCGCAGAGGACCGGAGTCCAGACAAGGTATGGTCCCTTCCCTAGGCCCAGTTCTGGCCTTCAAGCTCCCCAGCTGGTTACAAGCCTCGCTCCTACCCCCGTCTCCCTGGCAGCCTCTGCTTCTTCTGAGATGGATGGTCAGGCTCCCCGCCCCCAACCTGCTCTCCCTGGATTCTCACCCTCTGGCTTCCATCTTTCCACCTCTTATGCTGGCCCAAGTCCTCCTTTTGTTCTGGGTGGGGCAGGTGAATTCCAGCAGGGATCCCCTTAGTTTGGGGCAGGTGGGTCAACAGGGGCCCCAAGGGCAGGGGAGACTGTGCCAGGGAGGTGGAGTCAGGGGTAGAGCTGCAGAAGGAAAGGCAGCCAGGTGGCCTGAGACAGTAGCTAAGCCAAGCCTGTCCTGGGTTTGGGAGGCCTGAGAGACAAGACGGGAATTCTGAGCTAGGATGCAAGGGACCTGTCTTCTGGTCCTGCTCCTCTAACATTCTTTGTTCAAGGCTCCTCCCAACTGACATCCTGTGTTCTCAGGGCCCTCCCAGCTCTGACATCCTGTGTTCTAAGGCAGCAGTTCTCAGACTTTTTAAGTATTTGTGATCCAGGGGCCTTTGGCCTACCAGTTGAGAATCATTGTTACCTTACACCTCTGACATCATGTGGTTCTGAGAATAATCATAACATATGTGGACATGTCAGTTTAAAGTTTGCAGATAGCTTTCACTGCACGATCACACGTGAGCCTCACCCTTTTCAGATTATGGCGGTTTTTACAGATGGCTATGACTCATTTTACGGATAAGGAAACTGAGGCTCATAGACATTACATGACATGCCCACATTCACACAGACAGCAAGTGCTGGCCAAAGGATTTCTAGGAACAAACCAGAGATACTCCTCTGCCAGTCCTGCCCGTGGCGCATCCTGGGCTCCAGTCTGGGCATCACTGTTCTGTTGCACCATCTACATGAACAGACAGTCTGGGCATCTGCTTGCTAGTGCCAGCTGGGCATTTTGCCTTGCGCCCCCTGGACTCTCTCTCTTGTTCTCAAGCTGTGAGAGGAAAGTCTAATGATGGTGATGTGCTCTCCAGACACGTGTTTTAGGGCTGGAAGGAACATTGGACACCAGCGGTGCACTCTCCCTTCCTCGCTTCCAGAGGAGACCCAGAAAAGAGACTTGACTCAGCTCACTCAGGGATTTCAGGAATGCCTCAGTATCTCCAGGAGTCAGAATACCTGAGGTCCAATACCCTCGTGGGACCTTGGAAAGTTTGATAGTTCCCCCTTTCCAAGTCTCAGTTTCCCTCTCTTTAAATGGAAGGGGGTTGTTTAACTAGGCTTTTTGTTGTTCAGTCATTTTCAGTCTTGTCCGACTCTTCATGACCCCATTTAGGGTTTTCTTGGCAAAGTTACTGAAGTGGTTTGCAACTTCCAGCTCATTTTACAGATGAGGAAACTGAGGCAAACAGGATGAAGTGACTTGCCCAGGGTCACATAGCTAGTAAGTGTCTGAGGCCAGATTTGAACTCAAGATGTTGAGTTTCCCTGACTCCAGGCCTAGTATTCTATGCACTATGGCACCTCACTACCCCCTAAGCTCTAAGATCCTTTGCACCTCTAAACTATATATTCTGCTGCTGGTACAGACATGACTGGAACTCAGATCTCTCTACTACCAGTCCAGAGCTCTGAAGTTTGGGGACAGAAGGGTCAGAAAGACCTGGGTTTGAATTACACAGCCAACACTTAGTAGCTGTATGACTAGAAAGAAGTTATTTACCTTGAGGGTTGCATTACTCTGAGCCTCAGTTTCCTCATCAGTTAATTGGGGGTAACTGTCTTATCTACTTCCTGGGGTGAATGGTCTGCCAACTTTAAAGTGCTCTATCAATGTTGGCTGCTGCTATTATGATTTCTGTGCTGCAAGGTATGGAAGGGGTCTCAGGAATTTGAAGGGAACCCTCTCTCAGCTACCTCCGCCACCTTGAAGGGGCCATGGTGGCATTGAACATTGAATTTCACCCAGCTAGGCTGGGTGGGAAACACACTCACTCTGTCTAAGGGGATTTCAGAATTCTTGAACGTGGAGGGAGTGTATTTGTGGGTGGTGGATGACCATCTTTGTGTATGACGGAGGTGGGGTAGCTTGTGGGAAGGGAGTAAATTGAGAAAATGAATGTTAGCGGTGTCAGTATGTATGTTGAAGTCTCCCAGTATCAGGGCAGGTACTTGGGTGTGACCTTAGACAAGTCACTTAACTTTTATGTAAAAACGTTTGGTTAGGCTAGATGGTCCTTGAGGTTGCTTTCAGCTCTACATCTTTGATCTTAAGTCACTTGGCCTCTGTGGGTCCCAGTTTCCTCATCTGCAAAATGGCCTCTGAGCTCCCTTCACTTTACTCTTCAGTCCAGCGACACTGACCTTTTCACTCTTCCCCAAACAAGACACTATCTCCCGACTCCTGGCGTCTTCCCTGACTGTCTCATGCCTGGAATGCTCTCTCTCCTCCATCTCAGCACCGTCGTTCCTGCAGCTGCCACCTTCTATCCGAAGCCTTTCTCAGCCGTGCAATCCTGGTGCCTCCCCTCTATTGAAATGATTTCCACTGTGGCCTATCTCTAGCTTGTTTGTACATTCTTGTCTCCTCCTTGAGAAAAGAGATTGTTTTTGACTTTTCTTTGTGGCCAGTGCAGTGCTGGGCATGTAGTAGGTGATTAATGAATGTTAATTGAGTGACTGTTTGGGGCAGGTCAGTTTCCCAGTGATCTGGGCTCTGTTCCTGCCTTTCTCCCCAGCGGCTGGGCTTTCCCCCTGCTGCCCTGCTCTGCTCCTTGCCAGGTCCTATTCTGCTGATGGGGATTCTGGCGGGAGTGGACTTGGCACTGTGTGGACGCAGCTCAGGCCTCCACTTGCCCCTTGAAATTGATATCCAGCTGAGGGCAGGGGAGGCGGGGGAGGGGGACTGTCTGCCCCTCTGCCTGCTCCTGCCCCTCAACCTGATGTGCTTCTGAGACCCTGGGAAGGCCCCCTGTCATCCTTACCCCCTCATCTGCTCTGTCCTACTCAAGAGCTGGTTCAGTGTCCCTGCAGGCCTTCTTCCTTCAGG